TTCACTGTCACATTTTAGATTTATTGCAAACTTGATGCGAACAAAAACGAACGATTTCACTTCAGAGCTTCCAACTATATTATTGGACCATTAAATAAAGTCGCTAGATTAGTTCTAGTATACAATGTAGGTATGTGTGGATGTGCGTATTAGGTTATTACTTATATTGTAGTCAGCGAAATACAGAAAAGCGAGCACTCGTCTATTTTTATTGCAAACTATCGTCATTACAAGTTCCTATCTCTTATTGCACAAATATGCTTTAATATATATATATTTGTTCTATACCCTGCACAGTTTATACTAAGTTTGCAATAGACCACCTAGAAGGCAATTTCGGCGGCCCAATGAAGTATATGTGTTTATATGTATAAAACCTTATGAAGCATATGTATGTATATATATAAAGCTAGACTTAGACATGTCCGTCTGTCTAGCTGTCCGTTCGTGTGTCTGCTTGTATTTCGCAAACCAATCCCTCAGTCCAATCTGTGAAGGGTGTTACAGCTTCGGTGTAGTTGAAGTTAATTTTTTTCTTGTTTAATACAATCATCATTCAAGCTACTAAATTATAGTTCAAAAAACTAAATCAATATCGTAATAAAGCTATAACTATTCTTTCTTAAAGCGCATAATTAACATTGATCAATGCAATATGTCTCACCAGAGTAAAAGCTTTAACGAAACTACTCTTTTCGATTATTTTCCCCATCACACTTATTCTCTCGCACTCTCTCTCGAAAGAAAACTACCTTGGTTATTTAAATGTCGTAAAGTCGTTTATTTTTTGCCTAGTTATGTTACGTATACGCAGTGGAGTTACTATAATTGAATTAATATACCATAAAGATATGTAGCAATATTATTAGCTGGCAACATTTTTTAGTTCCCATTAAAAATTTTGGAAGAACATACGCCTATTTTTATTATAAGAAACAGAATAATAAGTATTTATTAAATCAATAATAAGAAAACGATAAGTTCGAAAGCTCCAATATGTCAATTAAGGCAGAAGACTTTGAGAGATACACGTTAATTCATTATTTTTTCAATTCCAAAAAACACAAAACTAAAATTTATATTAAAATTTAAACGTCAATTGTAGTTAAGCATAAATAATACAATTTATATTTACTTACTTATTTATTTATCTTTACTTATCATACGAAGGCTACATGTAAATGAATGGAAAACAATCAATTAATTTAAATAATGATTGCTTTCTGGCTTCAGTTTTCCCAACAGTGCATGTATTTTAATATGCTTGACATATATTTGTAAATTTCATATTATAATTATTAAGCATTCCCTCATTTACATTTATTACTTACAATAAAAAATTATTTACATGCCCACATACGTATATACATACATACGTATATTACATACATGCATAAATATCTATTTTCGTTTCAATTGACACACATTTGCTTTATTTTTTATACCCTGAACAGGGTATGGTAAATATGGCACGAAGTCTGGATAAGTCGGAGACCTTGTAAAGTAATTATATATATAAATGATCAGCATGACGTGCTATGTAAATTTATACATTTCCGTCTATCTGTCTGTCCGTTCGTTCGTCTGTCTGTATACTCGCGAACTAGTTCCTCAGCTTTTGAGATATCGATCTGAAACTTTGCATGCATCCTTTTCTTTGTAAGTTACTGCTCATATGTCGGCTGCACCAATAGCGGACCACTGAAGCATATAGTTGCCATATAACTGAACAATTAAAATCAGGTTCTTGTATGGAAAACTTTTTTATTGTGTAAGAGTTGGGATAGGGGTAGATTTATAGTAAAACATTTATTATTTATATACCAAATATATTATATTTCATAGCAAATCCAAAAGTTAATAATAAAAAGTTTGTAGAGATGAAAAAATATCGAAAAAATTTCTACAATCATATCTTAAAACAAATAATTATAAAAAAATAAATATGGAAAAAAAATATTTAGCACTTCTTGCTTATTTACCCAATGATATTGCATTTCACAGAGATATTAATAGATATTTTTTATAGTCTGACGACAAAACATATAAAAGATAACGTAAAACTTTCAAATAAATGCATTTTTTGTTGCAAGTGGATAGATTTATAAACGAAATCAGCCTTTATTAAAAATTACATTAAAAGAATTATTAAAACATCCAAAAAAAAATATTTTTGATATAATATATATGTATATATTTTTTTTAATTTCAATTTTTTTTTCAAATAACTATGGAATAGTTTAAAGTTTATATTATCAGATATTTCATCACCATAAAATGATTATTAACACTTCCGAACACTTTTTTATAAAACGCTGATATCATTGCAAACTAAGGAAGGTGACCTGTACATATCACTGATGTTACGTATACGCAATGGGGTATTCATATTTATTTAAATCTTTTGTTATACGTTTGATGACCAAATGATTATATAAGCCTAAATTACGGCAAATTTATTCGCACTTAATATATTTCAACCACTTCAACCATTCAGTTTTTATAAGAATTGAAAGCTTATTTAAACTTGAGAAATTGCTAATCAACTATAGGCACACAAACATTGTATACATTCACATAAACATGCATATATTTTCTATATGAGCTACAAACTTGTCATATAAAATATATTTTATCACAAAAGTGCACAACTGCATGTTCAACTATATAAATAGTAAAGAAATCAATGACTTGCTAACAGGATAAAACAAATAAACAAATTCATAAGTAAGGATTATTGTGCAATAATTAAAAATAAACTTGCAAAACAAATGCTCAATGCATAGTGGAAGATAAGCATCACCGAAATAGGTAAATAAATACGTGCATACATGTTTTGTGTGTGTGTGTATTTGTAAATTTCAAACTGGGCGAAAAGTATACTAAGCATTAAATATTACATTTAAGAATAAACAAATAATTATATTTTATTTTAAATATGAAGTGTGTTTCATAAAAGTAAATATAACAACTAGTATGTGATCGAAGTTATTTAAATATATAAGTTTTTACCTTCGGCTCACTGAGAAAGAAAATTTTTGAGAAGGAATATTCTTTAATAACAGTGTATCCTTTTACCTTAAATGGAGGTATTGTTTAAAGAATGTTGTTGAAGAATAAAAAATGGAAAACTTCGAAAAAAGTGGCATTTTTATAAGTAGAAATAGGGCTGTAAAATGGAAAATTGGCGCTAAAAAAAGAACCTAGTTCTTGCGAGAGCTATTGATGAGTAGAATAACATATTCAAATTTCCGCTCAATCGGTTGAATAGGCAATTTTATATCATCCGAGCCGACGGTAAAAACGTTGCTTCGAGAAAAACGCGTTTAAACTACAGATTAAATATGTTTCATAGAATTATATTTATTATTATTATACTATCGTCTAGCCTTGGTGCGTATAATAAACCTTTAACTTCTTCATAGGCCTTCTTATTAGTCACTTTTTCTGTCGTGCGACATATGATAAGCTGCGTTCTTCTCCGCTTTCGAAATACAATAAGACGCTTATGTACAGGTGCTACAACCTCGTCAATATTTCGAATTTCATTCTAAAATTTTTACAGTGTATTCTTAATAAACCATATATTTCTATCGAAAAAAAGTAAACTTTTCCAAATTAAGTTACCAGACTACTATTCTAAAATTAATACAATAAAAAAAAGAATATGTGCAGAAGTTTTTTGATATGTCTTTGAATTGCTCTAATAATGGAAGAATATAAAAAATGTATGATTTCATATTAATATTTATGAATTAATAAAATTTCAATACAGTTTCCTGTAAAGTACTTTACTAGAAAATGTTTCCTGAATCTACTACAGATGTTACGTAAACGCAGTGAGGTACTTCATTCAGCTTTATAGTAATTGCATTGGAAGAACACATCTAAACGCAGAATTCGCCAGTGGGTTCGATATATACATAGGTTTCCTTTTATATTTCGGGATTTGGCAACATTAGTATTGCAATCTAGCAACTGACAACTTTGTCATAGAATTTGACATTTTTGATGTTATACATACTCAGAACGTTTTGCCATCCGAGCACTATTTGTGTTTTTTACAGTAACTTAAAATATTTACTCAGCAGCAGTGCATCCCTGAACTTAATTCAATTCTTGGCAATGAAGCGAGATCAGAGTTTATCGATGGTATGGTGAATTCAATCTTGGTCAAAGACGTATTTCGTGAAGGCCATCAAAAATCGATTGTTTTTCAGGAAACTATTGATGATTTGCACAAACTGGTATTGCAAAATAGTCATGTGACCTATCGTAAGATTGATACATTCAATATTGCATAAACATTTGATGGTAAAAAAAAATTGTTCACCTTGGATCCCACACCATTGTTCAATCGCTCAAAAAAAGGCTCATGTCGATTGATCAAGAGAAATGTTACAAAAATATGCCTATGACATCCTGACAGGTGATGAATCGGGATTTTACACAAATGAGCCCGCAAGTAAACAGCAGTCGACTGAATGTGTGTCTCAACATGAGCCGAATCCAACAAAAGTTGGCCAGTTGTCTTTCAAGAAATCAGAAAAACCAACCGCCATAGACAGATCACTCTTCACCGCGACAATGCGAGCTCTCACACATCGACTGAAACAACAGCAGTTTTGAGCACTTACAACATCGATTTGACGAAATAAAAAATAAACTAAGAGGCCAACGTTTTTCGTGACCTGACGAGGAGGTTGACGCAATTATAACGCATGTTTTGGAGATGCCTCACTCAGAGTGGCAAAAGTGATTTGACAATTGGTTCCAACGCATGCAAGAGTGTATAGATTGCAATGGATAATAATTTGAAAAACAGTAAAGCGATTTTCGATTATTATTAATATTTGTTTTTTTTTTCCGATCACGATATATAAAAAGTGAAATTTTTTGCAAATGTTACACCTGCCTGTTGCACTATCAACTTGATTCGCCTGTTCCCATGCGATCGTGCGTTAATTCAGTCGAAAAATTTACACAAACATTTCTGCAAATTTACTTGGTAATTATATTTCATATATTTATTTATTTTTATTTATAGTATTTTAGCTACATACAATCAAATGGCCTACTAACTAAACCAAAGCGTAGTAAAGTACAGTTAATTTGCTAATTTACCATAAAAGTAAAGCGATTACACTAAAACTAGTATATATTAGAATTAATTATATATACTTTATTAACTAAAATTATTTACTACATCCAGTTCGTCATTCGTATATATACATTCACCAATTTCCTATAAGCGCACACGCTTTACTAAGATAACTTACAAGCAACCGTTGCCCCAGCAGCCGCACCATGGTATTTTACCGCCTGTATGCGAACTAATGGAGATCTTACGCCGATGCGAGCGCACGCTGAACGAAGTTGACGACTCGCGTGACGATGCCGAACTATTCGAACCGTGCTCCGAATATGAAGTACTATCCTGATGCGAGTGGTGGCTATGATGCAGATTATTACTTAGCATCGACGATGTATGCGGGTGATGATGATGATGATGGTGATGATGGCCGGAAGTGCCGCTGACACGTTGTGCATTACTCGCTACGGTGCCATCAGAGTGACGACGAGAACAACGCGAGCGCCCTGTGACCGCTTCGCCAGCAGCGACCTCACCTGCATTAGTGCGGGTCGAATCTTGGCTGGATTTACGTTGATGCGCCACCACTATATTACTACAAGTGCTATTTGTGTGGCGATGGTGCACGTTGGCGGCGTGCTTTGGCGACGTGTTCGCTGAGAGAGATTGCGGATGTGTGGGATCAGCAGCGCTGTTATTCGGGCTCATTGTATTACTGTTGCTACGACGCCGCACGGAATGTGGTGAGTTGGGAGTGCTGTGACTGGTTTGCTTTAGATTACGCAGCGCCGGATTGAGCAACGCGGACTGTAAATCTGTACAGCTGCCAACATTTGGACGATTCGTTGCGTTCGCTGTATTGGAATTGTTAGTAGTAGCATTGTTTGCGCTACCATCCTGCATACCGCTTAAATTTATTTGTGCTTGAGATCGAACTAAATGCGTGTTGGTCACCGGATCAGGTGATTCTGGCGTACTTGAGTCACCGCATACGATTGAAACACGCCGCGCTTTCCGACGTGCCGCCTCCGCAACGAGCGCCTAAATCAGAAATAAACAAAAAATAGTATATATAATGAAATCTCTATTATCGTAACAAGTACAGCAGAATTACCTCATTCGAAGCATCAGCTGCACTTGTCTCGTTTAAACCCGTTGCAGTTGCCACATTCAATTCCGCGTCCAATGAATGTGTCATTGCAGCGCGATATTGCGCACGCTTTGCCGCCGCGTTCGCTACCGCGGCGTACAATTGACTTTTATTGGGCGCAAGACCGAGCGTCATCGGCTTGATAGCCTGTGATCCAGCTGTTTCCTCTGTAGGTGGCTGTGGTATTGCTACTGGCATGGCGCGTGCTACACCTGCGCAGCGTATATTTAATGGTGATGGAAATCCGCGCGCTGGCGGCGTTGGCGGTTGCGCCTGCTTAGCCTGAGCTACACCAGAGACAGGCGGCAAAGGCGGTCTCTGCATATTTGCAACGCTTGTAGGCGGCAACTCAAGGCACGCCTCATTGTTTAACTGATCAAAGCCAATGTAAGTACGCTTATCCGGAAAAGGCACCATAGCGTCGGGTATATGCGGCGATGGGCTGTCTGTATGCTCGCGTTCCAGAGAACGCGTGCAGCGGTTGTTGCCGTTAGCATTGTTGCTGAGGGACGTTTGTGTGGCAGTCGCTGTTTTATTGGCGCTGTTGGCTGCTGTATTGGCAGCAACAGACACTTGATTTGCGCCATCATATTGCAGTGTTAAATTCATTTCTGAGCGGTACGGTTTCTTATTTTTGTCTTCCTGTTCCAGCGGTTTGTTGAGGACGTTGTCATTCTCCCTTCGTTTGTCCAGTTGAATAGCTAAGATATCCTCCGATATGGCTTGAATATCATTGAGAATGGTTTCCAGGTTGACGGACTCCGTCTAATGAAGAATACGGATTAATATTTTCATGTTAGGTTGTTAATATTTCTCTTATCATAAGCGTGTCATAAGATAATCGAATATATACGAGTATATGTATGGAATTAGTAAATAAGTTAGATGTGTTCTTCCTAAACTAAGTGTAAATGTAAGACTTTCAAATAAATATTTGTCACAAACTTGTAAAATGAAATAATAATTACTTTCTATAATAGTATAGATGAAATATGGTTACCAGTTTCGAACAAAATTGCAAAGTGTTCCAATTATAAAGTGTTTGGAAAACTCTTCTAGAAGCATTGCATCTTCAAATAACATTTGAAAACAGAGTTACTAGCCAAAATATTATTTTATTTAAAAAATTGAGTTGAAAAAGAAGTGTGCTAAATTTCAAATAGATATCTCAAAAAGTGAGGGCTAGTTTGGGTATATACAGAAAGATGGACATGGCTAAATCAAGTCAGCTCGTCACACTAATCATCAATTCACCGACCTTTCAATATTTCCAGTGTACAGCCGTCGCACACTACGCCGTATTTAGGCGATTCACTTTAAATTTCGAGTCACTATGTGTCCAGTCTAAGATCTTAAACCAAGCATAAATTCAAAATTATTTCTTAGCTTTGTACAGAATACAAAAAATCAATGAACCTTGGACCAATTATGATAAAAATTGCAGTTACGTCCGAAGTAGACTTGCTATATTTTGGAGCAGATTTGAATCCATGGACTCAAAGTTTTACAGAGAGCAATTTAAATTTAAGCTGAGAGACTTAGCTCTACAAATTGAAGAAGCATGTCTACCAGATATCTGGTATAGGTGATAAGGTACTTTTATAAGGCGATTATAACCAAATCTAAAATTTTTTGAGGTTATGAATATAAAAAATCGATGGTACAATATATTATTATATAATATATCAATATCAATGCCAACAAATGGTATTTTATGTATATATAAATGTATATACCTACATATGTAGTTTTCGAATAAAATAAAATGAATTGAACTAAACTATTTTTTGAAACATTTAAACTTTTTTGGAAAATTTTCTACAACTACAATAAGTAAGTTGAAAAAGTAGAAGGTTAAAAATTGGATAAAAGCATAACGAACATGTAAAGCCTACACTATTCGAACCACTACATACAACAATCAACACCCAAAGCCGTTTGGAAGGAGTGGCCTAATGCGGCCGCTCACCTGGCTTTGGCTATCCACCAGATTTGCTTTTGACAACGATGTCGGTGTCGACTGTGATAACGGTGAGTGTACTGGCGTTGCAGCTGCACTACTACGATTCGATGTTGTTGGTGTTAGATGTTTATTGGTGTTAATGGCGACCGCCATTAGCGGCTTGGTCACGGCCGGTGCAATTAAAAGATTTTTACAGCGTTTTTGTGCGGTAGCATAAATGGGTTCGCTTAATTTTGTTATTACAGCATTTGGCTGTGCAACGAAAACATTCGGCAATGTAGCGAGCGATTGCAGCGCTGCCAATTTCGGCGCAGCTTGAAGTGGCGCCTGCAGCCTTTGTGGCGTGTTAATTAATGCCGCGGTCGTAGCATGCGTATTAAGCGGGAGATCGACACCAATTGTTGCCGCATCCTCACCGCAGGCGGCAGCAGCATCAACACCGGCGGCAATCTCATCAGCATCGTCCACGGTCACTGTAATCGTGATCAACGATGACTGCTGCAGTCCAGTTGGTGACAGCGACTGGACATATTGCTGTTGTGGAAGCCGCTGGTGCTGCTGCTGATGCTGATGCGTGTACCGATGCGGATGCAAATGTTGTTGCTGCGGCGCCAACAGCTGTTGTTGTTGGCGTTGCACGCGTGCGCGATGTTGTGGACTTACTTGGGAGGAGCTACCGCGTTGCGGTATTGGTGGTGGCACTGCGTTGTCTGCACCCGCCGCAGTCAATGCCTGTTGCTGATAGGGTGAGGCCAAGCCGTTGTGTACATAAAGGTCGGGCGGTTCACAATTCTGACATATACCGCTTTCGGCATCCGCAGCTAACGTGGTTGGCGTTGATATTGGTGTAGACTCCGTAGGCAAATTGGCGTCACCTGCCAGTGCTTTATTAGCTAAAGTTGTATTGATTTTCAGTCGTGGCTTTAGTGGCGCAAAGAAATGCCTTGGGCTATTAAGAGTTGGTAGTGCATTTGATGGCGTCGTTGTAATTGCAACTGTCTCTACGACGGTCGCGTTCGATTGTTGTGCACTCGGCGCTGATACTGTTAGACCTGCGGAGTTTGCCGTCGACTCATTGCATGCCGGCGGCGCCACTATTGTTGGCACAAATGTAGTTAACAGTTGGGGAGGCGCTAGTCTCTGTTGTTGTTGTTGCGTGGCGTTCTGCGTAAGCGTTGTGGCAATTTGCAATGCCGGCGGCGAAGTGCCTATTGTAATCTTTCTATGCGCGAAAGGCGATTGCATCTTGTAGTCCCAACCATTGGTGTGACGCATTAGTTTCGAAGTAGGCGAGCTCGTATTGGGCGTATTACCTGAAAAAGCATAAGGCATAGTGTTATTGTTATGCTGTTATGGTGTCAATTTAAATGCTCACACACCTATATTAGAACCCATATGATCTTGCAACACATTCTCGAAATAAGATAGTGGCGGCACATTCGATTGCAGATCATTCAACTGATTGGCCACCTGTTCGATGGGCGTCAACGGTGTCAACGGCCCAACTAAGCTGGGTAATATCATCTGCGAGCCACCGCCGTCAGATGTATATATGTGCAGCAACTCATTGTGTGGCACATGCGTATGCTGGTCGGCATTACTCATCGTTTCCTCCGACACCACGGACAAATGATCGAATGCCTGATGTAAATTTGGCACACTTTCAGAATTAGCACCCGCAGATTTAACCACAAAATTGACCAGATCTGAGCGCGTTGCTGTCGTTGTGGTGGGCGTATCAGCTTCGAACTCAATAATCGGTTGCTTTGTCGCCAACTGTGGACAGCTGCCGCCAGTGCAGCACTCATCACTGCATTGATCATTGTTGCCTTTGCAGGTATCACAGGAATCTGAATCCTGCGAAGAGAGTGAGATGAAAGAAAAAAGTGTGTATAACAATATTTTTCTATTTATTAATTTTATTTGTGACTCACATCACTGTTACAGCTACTGTCACATATGTGCCCACTACCGCGTCGGCCGCCACTACAAACGCTATGTCGCGCATTGCAACCATGATCATGATCCAACAGTTTCGCCTTGAAGCGTTTATTCAAGCGATCACACTCATCGCGTAACGTCCAAATCTCGCGGCGCAGCTGTTCATTCTCTCTACGCAAACGTTTGATGTCCGATTGCCCTGGAAGTGTGAAAAATTAATGACATTACAATTAATTTAGTTACAAATTAACTAAAAATAAATGTTTCACTTGTTAATTCGTTAGCGAAATGTACAAATCAGCTAGTATATTAATTTTTATGATGGCCATTAATGCCGTTAATAATATTTTTGACGGCAGTTTTGTGATGCACTGGAAACCCCCAATTTATGTACTTATAAAAATAAATGTCTGCATGTTAAGTAAAATATTTATATATGCTTGCGTACTATGTTACTGTATACGTGTATGTGTGAGAATTTAAAATAGATGCCTTCAGTGCCAGCTGCTAAAACAATTGTTTACTTTATGATTGTGCTAATTTAAAGCAATAATTGTAAATGTGTTTTTCGTTCAAAATATAAAAATAATATTTTTTAATATATAATATATAAAATTAACTGTTAATGTGGTGTGTGAATAAAAATGATTGCTTTTTCATTTACTTTTGCATAACGGTATAACGATTTTAGTACGTGTTACACATTATAGAAAATGTTGATATTAATCGTGGTTGCGGCGCATAATAAATAATATGCCACTGATATTGTTTTGGAAAGTCGGCGATTTTTCTAAAGCCAAAGTTTTAAAATTCCTCCAAAACATAATCTCTCTAACAACTAACACTTATTGAAAGAGAGCGCGTCACAGCACACATCTCAGGTCGGAATTCAAAAAGTAATCAAATACGAAATTCATAAACTCTGAAATCAGCAACCCAAATTTGCACATTGAGTTGAACACGAAAGGTTTTCATAATCCGAACATAAGCAAAGTAAGTATTCCAGCGTCTCTCTAATGCCTACTTCCCTGCCTTCCATTGATAATACAAACATTAAGTTCTTGTAAGAAACCGTTTGTATTAGTGAAGGGTCTTCTAACTTCCGTGCAACCGAAGTTTATATTTTTTCTTGTTATACCCTGAACAGCGTATATAAAGTTTGCCACGAAGTTTGTAACACCCAGAAATAAACGTCGTAGATCCTATAAAATATATATATAAATGATCAGCATGATAAGCTGAATCGATTTAGAAAGGCCCGTCTGTCTGTCTGCCTGTCTGTCTGTATATATACGATCTAGTCCCTCAGTGTTGGAAATATCGATCTTAAATTTAGCACACGACCGTTCCTCACCAACTAGCTGCTCATTTGTCAGAATGACCGATATCGAACCACTATAGTGTATAGTTGGCACACAAACTGAACAATCGCAATCAAGTGCCTGTATGAAAAACTCTTTTATTTGACGAGATGTCATCACAAAATTCGGGACAGATTATTGTCTAAAGCAAATGGAATATCCGAATAAATTGTCAAGATCGGATCACTATAGCATATGGCTGTCATACAAGCTGAACAATCGGAATCAAGTTTTTCTAAGGAATTGTATTTGTGAAGGAAGTGAAGGTTGCACCGAAGTTTAAATTTTTTCCAGTTTTTTAATAAATTTATTTACTCAAAAGCTTCCCTATCTAGCTAGCTAGTTGTTAGATAGATCAGTGCTTGGATCATTTCAGCTGTTTCATTGTAATAGACACGCTCTAAGGCTGTTCTTTTGCGAATATAGACTACTTTAAGCGCCATTATCAAGCAAAATTTTTCGACGCTATAGAAATTCCTATAGGAGCTATTAAATTAGTTATGTTACGTATACGCACCGTCACTCAAAGAGAATGCTAATTTTGAAAGTGTTTCTGTACACATTTTAGTACATATAAGCTCTCTAAATGGATTATTGAAACAAATTTTTAGTTTTTGAAAAACAGATTATATTTAACCGGGATATTTGTATCTAATAAAAATATTAGACTGATAAAGAAATCAATAAAAATACATCAATTTATCAGGGCCAAATCAGATAATTTTTTTATTTAATTTTAATTAAACCATTGATTTTTTCTAATAAGATATGATGCAATATTGCGATATATTGGATCAAAGGATGAATTACTGAAGTCTGCTTTTATCTTAGCACTGCGCTAGATGACATTATACTACAATTCCGTTATTTTTTAAGACTTCAGCGTCCACTACAGGGATGAGGTGATTTTGACAACTCGTAACAGCCATGTTTGTATACAGTTTTGTGTCAAATTTTATCAGTGTGCTCAGTAAGTTTGCCATTTCATCATAACACGTTTTACTTAAGTACAACGCTTAGAAATTGGCTAAAATTATTACGCACATTCACGTTCATCGAAAATTTCACAAATTCACGTTCATTGAAAAATCATCTTCTCAGATGAGACCCCTGGCTTAATCGCTTCGTCAACAAAAAAAATTATCACATTAAAAAAAATTTACCGCTTAACGCTTCTAGTTTATTTTCTCTAGGGATGTGTTAAGTCAAAGGTTTACGCTCGAAGATCGCGAAGACCATGGGTGGATATATGCAAGCGGAACTGGGGTGGCCATTTGGCCGACCTTTTGTTCAAATCAAAGATGGCATAATATTATAACGTGCATAACAAAGAAAAAATCCGTACCCATTTTTACCAAATTTGAGTGTTTTGTTTTATTTTAACAACAACTGGTAGACCCTATATATCGCATATAAGTGTTTTTATTAATATTAAAAGTGAATAATCGACACTTTTATACTTGGCGCTTATGCCTTTGTTAAATCTATGCCAAATGAGATTTTAAAAACAGTCTACGTAATTCAAAGATCAACTCATTTTTTAACACAATAAGAATACTAGATTTCATTGAAACCTCTCATAAAAGAACTACATTTTACCACAGCGACGCATATCGTGAGTTTTAAAAAAGTAAAAGGTTTGCAGTGTTAACTTCGCAACCATAACATAAATTATAATTATTAATTGAATTTTAGTAATATATAATATACAGGGCCATTAACTATAAAAAATAGATAGACAGTAAAAAACTTTGAAATTTAGTTATTTCGAATGTATGAGTACATTTCTTTTCTATCACAATATTTTATTTATTGTTTTTTTTGTTGTATATCAGCATTCAAAACTTAATCATTTTCATGAAAACCATAACCATTGTTTATTGCATTGTATTAAGTGCTGACACAATATTCTCAAATATTTTTACAACTGACGACAGTTTGACGACCGCCACAGTAAATGCGACATTAATTAGTGCATGACTACAGCGTCCTTAAGCCATACACATACATACTCAAGTTCAGATAAATATGTTTGCAATTAGTTTTATGCACATTAGAACACATACACACACTCAAGCTATACACACATATAATATTATGGTTTATATGACACTAGCAAATACTTAATGTTTTATTAGAATGATTTTCTTCATTACAATCCATTAATTTCAACTGACAGCAACAACAATAACAAACCGACATCGCAACATTACGGCAGACAGCGTTTTGTTTTCAAAACCAATTTTCAAACGAATATCTTTACAAAACAAAATTACTACATTTATGTACAGGCGTAGACACACACACACATACACTTTTTTGTTAATTATGTGAAAAATGCAGCACACAACAACACTAGGCACATAACTATGCGAGCGCTAGGCAAAAAGTCAAAGCAATTTCAAAATTACTACAATTTGTTTGCAAACACAGTCAACTGTCACTACATTGCGTTTATTGAAATACCGTTAAAATTGCTATTATAATTAATATAATATTAGTATGTGTAATATATGTATATGTATATTTAAGAACACAACACACGTGCCGCTTGCGTTAACTTGTTCGTTCGTTCGAACATATTTAAAAAGTCAACGCTGACTGGTTGGACATTTTGCAGATTTGCCCAAAATTTCAGAAAATTCAATAAAATCACAAAAATTCATAAGCTTTAATATTTGGCGTTCACTTGTATTTGTATGCACCACAGTCATGCATAAACGTATGCGTATATAAATATATATACCATGAGTATTTGTGTAAACCTAGTAGAAAATTCAATTACTAGTTGCAAAAGTCACTAGTTAAGAAGTAATGTGCTTTAACAGAATTTTTGCTAGGCCTTGACGAAACTGACAACTAGATGCGACACTATAGACTTATACTAAGAAATATACATAATTGGTTGGCAAACCTTTAGTGACTTGCCATATAAATGAATTTAATGCTAAAATAACCTTAAAACTTATATATGAACTATGCTAAGCAAGTCAAGATTACCGAAACTCCAATACAAAATTAATGAAATGAATAAGCCTGATGCGTAAGAAAGAGATGAACGATCGCACATACAGAAAAGCTTCGGTTAGACTTGGCAATTCAGCCTTAAGACACTTTAACATAATTATCTGGTAGTGCTTTTAAGTAATTAAGCAGCGATTTAATTTAACGAACCGTTAGCTAGCATTGTGTCTATAAATAATAAAGACAGCTTAATGTCAGCAACGCCACTCGCGACAGACTTATTAATAGAATTAACTATATATGAGGGAGTACAGCATTTTGGCATGTTACGTCATTACGTCAACAATTTCTTTCATTTTTGACATCCTCCACATGAAGAAACTCACATGTCGAAATATCTATTTTTATCTTGGAAATTACCTCTTTCCCGTTCTGTATCTCTCACTCTCTCTCTCTCACACACACATTGTTAATTAGGTGAGTCAGTTTTAACACATCTAAAGGAATCCCTTTTTTAAATTGTATTGAAAGTAAGGCAAATTTTAAAATAAATTCAACATTCCTTAAGTCAAAAACTCTGTGTGGATAAAAAATGCAAACATTTTCTCTTAATCGAAAACCTCTCAAGCGTGGAAACAATGCTATCAAGTACGCAGCCTCTCAGCATTATCTATCTCTCTCTCTTTCTCTTTCTCTCTCTCTTTCTTTCTCTTTCTCTCATTTGTCTTGGAAAACTGTTAGATTACAAACTAATTAATACATATAATTAACTATAAGAACTCAACGAATGTCCTTTATTATCACCGAGTTAAATGAACTCGTTTAATTTTACAGAAAGCAGTGTTTCTTCATACATTACAAACGAACTAGTTGGAAAAGTTAACGAATACATTTTCCTACGTTGAACATACATACATATATATTCAAATATATTTGTGTGTGTGTGTGTGCGATAGTGAGCATTTGTAGACTGGCGAAAATTAAAATTTTTCAAAAACGTCGACGGCAATTATGGCACTGACAATGCGCGAAAGATAAACATAACGAAAATCAGCCTGCGAAACACAGCAAAAAGACTATTTAAATGCCGAGTAAATATGTAGTGTGAGAGAACGTCTCGTTTTCAGGAGCGCAAGAGCTGAAAAACTGCTCTAGCAATAATATTTTTCTTAATGCTGAACATATCGGCGATCTTTAGAGAGTTGAGAGCGTTAATGAACTGGTCAGCCGAGTGCCTTAAATGAGTGGTATCTGTACGAGAGCATTAATCAAAGAGTAAAATTCATTTTATTATTATTTTCGACTGAATCACGGCAGGCAAAGTCGAGGATATATTTGCAAATAAATTAGAGTTGAAAAATAAGATTAATTTTTTATACATCATTCTGTGGTTTGTTTACATTTTTGCGTTTTTTTCACGCTATTTAGCTGTCTTGCGATCTGCCAAAACACGTAATACGATTAATGATTTCACTTCGGGGCTGTTGGTGTGGGTAGATCAAAATGCTTTCACAAATACCGACATAGTCATATATAGGCGTTTATAAGATTGTAAATAAATAAGCTTGTTATTCTCGCTAAAAAATGCGAACGTGCAACTTTAAGAAAAATTTTATTAAAGATTTTCTTTTTTGTTTTTTAGTTTTGTATACATTATTTTACAGGTGCGTATGGTTCGATATTCGCACATCTGGCTACTGCTGTCTGAACGGCGAAAGTGTAAATGTGTTTATCAGCTTGACGCACTAGAGGCGATACCCAGTAGGAAAAAATTGAAACAAACGATTTTCTACGAATTTCGGCACACCGAAAGTTCAACAAAAATACAGGTCAGTTGTGTATATAATGATTATATGCATACCAAGCAACATGTTACTACAGAGTATATTATATTTTTTTTATTTAATAGTTGTTTTTATCATCATATATATATATATAAATAATGAGGATAAAGAAACGAGTTTAAATCCAAGTGACTGTCTGTTCGTCCGTCCGTGCACGGATTCTTTGGTAAAAACGTGAGGACGAGCTCGTAGTCAAATTGGGTATATATGATTATTTTGATAATCGCATATAAATTAGCGCAATCGGACAGTAAACACGCCTACTTCCCATGTAACATAACTTTAAATTCCATCTGATTTTTTCATTTTCCAGTATACATATCAAGCACTTTTTAACATAACGGGATACAAATTTGCACGAGTATTTCCTTTAAGGTATGCCATCTTAGGTCTAAAAATCTCAAAATTGGACCATTACTATTCAAGCCCCCAGATATGAGAAATGTGAACCCCAGAGCCTATGGCTGAATAGAAATCGGGCGAAGACTTTCCCTATCCCCATATAACTGATTTTCTGGATTTTGAAACGTCCGTAACATATGTTTATATTTATATATTTACAAAATTTATCGAAAAAAAGTTCTCAAGTATACCTGAGCAATGTCAAAAATTAATGCAATCAGCACTTCCATTTATATGCCCCCAATGATTTTAGTATAATTTTTGATGGGATGTAAAATATAATAATAAAACTAAGTATAGATTCAAACACCATCAAAATAAGTTAATACAATACCATATTTGATTGTAATCCATTCACCATTTCGTCGAACAATGCAGTTGCACCCTTTCGCTACATTACTTAATACAAAGTTTTGCCAACACCTTATGGTATTTCCCCAGCATTGATCCTTGCAAGTTGCAAGAGTATGCAATGTTCGGTTACACCCGAACTTAGTCTTTTATTACATGTTTTCATGAAATTTCAATTGATTTCTTTATAATATGGAAAATTATACAAAATACTCGAAATTGGTCCGAAAATATGTAAAAGAAAAAATTTCAGGCCCATCTTTTTTCATTTTAGTTTTGTTAAAATATCAAATATTGCAAATAAAATTTGTTACTCAAAAAGAATAGTTTTCTTCTATTTTATTCAGCATTTCCTGCATGGTTGCTTAATATTAGTTTAAGTATAAACGACAACAACTAGTCCGCCGTTAATAAATTAATTTTGAATGAACACTACAAGATACTCAAAAAACAAGCAGCTGACAGTTTCATCTTCAATGTGAACAGCTTTTCCAATTATACGTATTATACTTGATTTTTCTAATATTTTCAGACATTTTGTCACGCATTGTCACCTTCTATTTTCCTTCTAAAGAGGCAGACCGTAATTTGTTTAACTTTTTTCAGCCTTTTCAATGATTTTTTTAATTTATATTTTTAATTTACGTCTGAAAATGTAAAAAAATAAAAAAAAAAAACATAAAGTACGCAAAACACATTTCAGCGCATGTGGCATCCACATGTTAGTTGTTTAATCGTGTTCTGACAAAAGAGATTTTTACTTTTAAACCTTACTAATGAGTGTAGAAAACATTTCGTTGTGGCTAATTGGTTTTTGTCTAGGAAGTAGGCATAATTTTGTCATATTTACCTCTTTCGACCTCAGCATTTATATTGATGGTACGCAGCCTCAGTTCCTCATTCTCATAGATCATGCCACGTGATGACTTTCGATCCAATCTGTAAGTGTGCGTTGGAATGGTAGAAATTAGTGAATTAAATTTAAATAAAAATTAAAAAAAAAAAAGTTTGTGTATAATATAAATTAATTTTTTTTTAATTCTTAAGTGTGTCATAAAATATGCTAAATTATGCTAAGTACAACAACCAAACACGCTTACGAAGAGTAGCCGTCCCAAACTGTCCGTTGCCGCCACATACGCATAATGTTAGGGTTTCATACCACAAAATCTCTTTTAAATGCAAATTTCTGACGAAGTATTTAACACTTCATTCTCTATACAAAGTGCTTTGAGCTTTTTTTGCAATTCCATAAAGAAAAAAAACTGCCCATAAAAATTACGGTAAATCATACAATTTAAGTCAATTAATTTGCTTTGTGTCATGCTATGAAGCATACCACTATCAATTATATATGCAAACATTGTTTAACTAAATTGTTGTTTATTGTTTGACTCTATCTTCCAGGCAAACGATTTCGATAAATAACTGTTTTCCATGAGAACTAATGAAAGCACTGTTAAAAAATAATTACATGTTTTTCTTGATTATTATGAAAATTTAATTTAATAAATAGCAGAATATGAATATGAATATGTACATATACAGCAAATGAGCTGACAAAGTTGTGTTGACTAACAGAGGATTTGGGAATTGAAATCAATTGATTTAATTGTTTGGCATTACTTCCTTGGACTTTTTTTTCATTACTATTCGGTGTTTTATATGTATTTTAATAACTCTCATGATTCTTTAATAGATTTTTCCGATATTTAAATAATAAATATGAAATTTTGGAGACATTCTTTTCTCCAAAAGATGTTGCTCACTTGTCGGCAAAGCATATAGCATATAGCTGCCGCATAAACTGAACGATAAAAAGCGTGTCTTTGTATGGATAACTTTTTTATTTATCGAGATATTTTAACGAAATTTGACATGAATTATTATCTTGGACAACGCTATAATCCTCTATAATCCTCGAAAAACCTTTTAAGCTCAGACCTCTAAAGCATATAGCTGTCATACAAACTGAACGATCGGAATTAAGTGCTTGTATCAAAAACTTTTTCATTTTGACTGCTGAAAGTTCTTGTAAGGAATCGTTTATATTTTTGAAGGGTATTATAGCTTCGGCGCAAACGAAGTCAACGTTTTTTCTCGTTTTTATTTTAAATTGTCTCTCATGTGATAAGTTTTGGTGCTACATATTTTTTCTAACAATTTTTATGCATTAGCGATGCTTCAGTTGTGATTGTTGTCGGCCTAATTATAGTATTTAGTGTTGTTTGCCTTTTATTTTTAAAATAGTCCCATTGACTATTCCGGATGACCATCATCTCCGCACACAAATTTGCTCCACTTTTTGCGTTTCTTTTTATTTTTTATTTTTAGTTATTTTAACGACTTTTTTCTAAATAAAAAACACGCGTTTGTTTTTATTTAATTGCTTTTCTATATGACAAATTAATTCTGCTAAAATCCAGCGTTAAGCTTTTTGGCGTTTGAAAGAAGCTAAAAACCAAAATCAACCGTGCTCCAGCGGATTCTGTAAGTAGACTAAATAAGCCACGTAGTCCGATATTGAAGATTAGTTGATTTTTTTCGGCTTGTTTTTGTTTTGCCAATGTGTTTGTTGTTGTTGTATACCCAATTTTTATTGCTGTCTTCCGCTACTTTTGCTCATGTTTACCACTGTTGTTGTTGTTGTTATTAATATTATTGATGTTATTGTTAATGGTTTTTATTGTTGTTGCTGTTGCTATAATGATTTTCTTTGTTGCTGCCAGCAATTATCATCACCATTTAATTTGCCAACGCTTTAGCGTTAGGTCCGAGGGAGCTGCTGCCTACCTTTGGCAAAAAATACAAATTAAAAAGAAAAAAAGCGCCAACAACAACCAAGGATATATGCATACAAACAACATTTGTGAAATATAAATAAAATAACAACAAAAGAAAACGCTGCGTTGCCAAAGGTATGCGCTGGTGAAAAGAGCAGGAAAATCTGCTCCCCGCGTATATCAAATGGCGACAAACGAAGCGCCGAATGGTCAACACAATCCACTAGCACTTGATTTTGGAGCGGCGCCGACGTGTGTACCTATTTGGCTGGTACATCCACATGTCTGCAAGTGTTTGCTTTGTTGGGCGAGGGGTGAGATTGCTATTGGTGCGTCCAATAGTAAAAGCACCGAAAGCATTCCATTGCGTCCAACTCAATTAATTGCCAACTGCCACTACACAAAATGGCTTAAAGACATAATTTATACGATAGCGTTAAAAAAAAATAGACCCAACAATCTCTATTTGCTAAACACAGGGTGTTGAACAAACTTTTTTTGCCCTGTGTTACGAAAATGTTATGCGAAATTACAAATATCGTAATATGAGCTTTCGAAGCTTATGGGTTGCATAAAATATCCACAACAAGAGTAATCTAAAGACTAATTAGCAGATCATACCACTAAATATCGCTCATAGATTAGCGACGGTAACTGCAGACATATAACAACAAAATAGCTGTCTAGAGCGGATTTACAGCTGGGAGTTTTTAAGTTTTGAAGATACTTCGAGAGAAACGGATCAACAACAAACTATATTTGACGACTATAAAGCAGAACGAGTGGATTTCGCATAGCGAGTAAAATGTCACTTGATTTCCTTGTAGTTATAAGAAAGGGACTTTTTATACAACGACTAAATCCATATCATTCGCACGAGCATCCACGTTGCATAGAAATCGTTAAAACAAACAAAAGACAAGTGCTCTCTCAGAAAAACACTAACCCTTAATAAGTAATATTAGTGAGTTTGGTCATAGTTGTCGCTGTTACCGAATGGTGCATAACACTTGACGACAACATTTTCTCTTAAGCGAAAGAATTCTGCTTTCGCTGACTATGAAGTGTCATCCGAGTCAATATAGGTACGGACTCTCTATGTTAGTTCTGAAAGTATATGTGATCTTTCGAATAGGAGCCAACTTACGAGGCTTGTACATCATGCTAATTACTTCTGTATACATAGCACCAACGCTTAAGATTTAAGTTTAATTCTTTTTGTTCGGCTCGGGTTAAAATATTTGACGCATCGACTTCTTTTGTTTCGGAATTTGAAGACAAGTTATAATTAAAACAGGCAAAATACAAAAAATTCCTTACAAGAACTTGATACCGATCTGAACAATTTGTATGGCAGCTATATGCTTTAGTAATCAGATCAGAAAAATTTCTTGGAAGATTGCATCATTGCCTTGTAGAATAAAATACATATTAAATTTCGTGAGGATGCCTCTTCAACTAAACAACTTCCCCAAACAAAGACTTGAATCCGATTTGATGCAGTTTGTGTGGCACCTACATATATGCTATAGTGTTTCTGGGTGATAAAAGAATGTGTGCAAAATGTCAGATCGATATCCCAAACACTGCGTGACTAGTTGGCTTATATACAGACAGACGGATGTGGCTAAATATATATATATATATATTCTATAGGGTCTCCGACTTTTCCTTCTTGGTATGCCCTGTTCAGGATACGAAACCTTGTTTCATATATTTTTTTTCTGAAATTAAACGGTAAATTTACAAATGATGCAACGATGATCATCTAAAAAAATAAACTACATCTACTTTTTCAGCATAAATCTACCGAAGGATAAGGAAGTTTTTTTTGTTTAAGTTCCAATTACTTAGCATTATATAAAAGGTAGGCCTATGAAAAATAAACTTTTATAAATATTAGCTCACAATAATAATTTCACTCATTTTTGTTCTGCTTTTATACTAAAATCGCTGTGCATAAATTGAGATGTCCGATTTGAATTTCCTTCAAAACCGTAAAAAGGTCCGATTAATTGACAAATTGGCGAGCATTATAAGATTAAAAGCTTTAACGCAACAGCTGTGGATTTGATAATGCCCACAAGAATAAAATTTTTTTGAAAAATTGCGACGATTTTAAAGTGAATTAAAAATATTTATTTGCACTTGTACGTAAGCGCACGTGTGTATTCGAATACGAAGAATGCTACGAAGTGTAAAATAAAGCAAATTGTATAATATGCAAACAAACAAATTGATGAAATAAATTTTATTTTAATTTCCAACTCAACACGATTTCGAACGGGCGCTATAAGTTGTTTCGTTTGTAGCTATTTATAAAGCCCTTGAAAAAATTATACACTCACATACATATTAACCTATTACTTGATACTAAATATTCATATCTAAAATATGTGCCTATATCTATATGTATATTTATATGAATACTTGTATATGCGTGAATGAATGTACCCAGTTGGAAGTTGTGTAACCAACTTTTATCACGCTAATTCGAATTAATTTTCGCTGATTTCAAAATAAACAAATTTCGACTTATTCAAAGCCGAATATACCTAGCGAAATAGTACGTATGTTTGCATGTATGTCTTGGCGAACATTTCAACAGCTTTTTTTTTGCTTTTTTCACAACAACTTCTTCTTTATATTAATTAACTCCATATTTACCATAAACAAATATACGAGGCACTGTGCACTTGCTTTTTAATTGATTATATCTAATTTTAAATTTAATGAATTGTTTGTAGCAATTGAAAATCTATTAAATTTGAATTAGAATACAAAATTAATTACCGTTTGTGACTAGCAGAAAGGACTTGGCGGAAATATAGCACACAAATTAGAAATTGTTGGAAAAAAGTACGTTCAGCGTTGATTTTTCATACAATTTAAATATCTTTTCTATGGCTGCATATATTTTGTTTAAGGATTCATAGTTATCGTTACGAAAAAATGTTAGTTTGATACAATTTCAAGCCGTATATTTTTCAGTGTTATTGAACTTTTTCTTTGGTACCTAGGGATGATTTTAAGATTCTACTAGTCAAAAAATTGATCACTGCAGAGTGTCTGGTGCAAATTATTGAGTTTGTATTAGAAACTGTACGAGGTGTACTCAAAAAATAACGGGAATTTTCGTTTTTTGAAAAGAAAGTTTATTCATTTGCTTACATTCATGTAGTCAACATTCGATATTATGTACTTATGCCAGCACTTCTTTCAATTCTCGAAACACTTCTCAAACTCAATTTTCGGGTTAGCCTTTAGCTCTTTCAGCGATGCGCTTTTAATGTCATCTGTGCTTGTAAAACGACATCCCTTTAAGGTTCTGTTTATTTTTGGAAATAGGTATAAGTCATACGAAGTCATGTGGAATATAGCGGCACCGTTACAGTATTGCTTTTGGCGAAGAATACACGTACAAGCTACGAACTGTCAGCTTTTAACAAACGAGAATCGAGACACTCATAAAAGCAAGTCTAACCTTAGCGGCTGTTCTCAGACAATGTAAGCAATGAATGCAGCCGAAAATTTTATCGTATTTCAGGGACATGTATAACAACATAAATTTCGACAATTGGACTCTGTAAACTGTAAAATTTTAATTTGAAAATTCCCGCTCTTTTTTTAACACACCTCAAAAATTGTTAATTAATATGAAAACTCTATTCATCAACTTGGTTTGGCTTAAGATGATGGAGCTGCTCTTTGTGAACACTGTTAAAGTTGAGTTGGTTGACTGGTTTTTCGCTGATTTTGTTTTGGTATTACCAAATTTCCTCAGTAATAAAAAACGTTTTCGGGCATAAATTAATGCTCCAGTGAAAAAAAAATGTTATGATATACAAGTTCCACAAGTAATAAATTTTCATATAAGTATTAATTGTATAAAGTCCTACAAGTAATAAATTTTCATATAAGTATGAAATATAAAGTCATACAAGTAATAAATTTAAAAAAAATCAATTGTAAAAATACTTTTGATGTTATTAGTTGTCTTATGACCATGATGATCTTTGAAAATCATATAAATATATGACAGGTTCTCTGTAGCATGTACTCACTTTTCAGTATTTCTACGAATTCTTAAAGATTGGGAAGGAAATCAAGTACATTGTTTCATTAATTAATTTAAATTTATTTGCAATGATCAAATATAAGAGTTATAATTTTTGAAACACCTTAAGTTAACCGAACATTTCATACTCTTGCTGGGGAAATATCTTATTATTTGATAGCAATAAAACACGCTCTTTCTATTTCACTAAGATTACTCACACATTGGCCGATATATGTGGTATAAAGTCAACTGGAAGTTCGAAAATTTTTATTTATATATATTATATTTTTGACATAACGGTAAATTATTATCAAAAAAACATTTTCCCGGAACTTTTTCGGCAAAAAATCTGCCATAGACTCTGGTTTCCACATTTCCTGTATATTGGGGCTTGAATAGTTATATTATAATATAATATAATATATATATTATTATATATATTAAAAGTATTATCCCGATATATTAATTAGTGTTTGATTTGTATGTAGTTGTGGAAAGCGAAAAAGTCAGATGTAATTTAATGTTGCGTTATATGGGAAGTAGGCGTGATTTTTATCCGATTTCGCCCATTTTTGCACTGTAACATGGGAATGTTAAACTAATATTAGATACCAAATGTTAAATTGGTTTAGTAAGTTCGGAAATATGTAATTTCACCCAAATGTGGGCGATGCCACGCCCATTGTCCAATTTTTATACCTACTCCTATAAAGACCTCTTGTGCCATCTTGGATGAAAATGTAATGTCTCTGACGCATTTCGGTATCGATTAACCGCAGAGTTAGTAGTTTTTAAAAAAACCGTAATATGGGGATTGGGCGTGATTATGAACCGATTTCACCAATTTTTACGCTGTTGCAAGATAATTGGTAGGTCCTGTGCGAATTTGTGTGATATAGCTTCAATAGTTTGGGAGATATATTTATTAATCCTATTAAGCGTCGGGCCCACGCCCATTTATAAAAATATTTTCAAACCACAACGGTTACGGTTTTGTATCGTAATTTGCGGCTTCGTTATGGCAATTTATAGGTTTTCGATTAAAGGCGTTTTGTAGGCGTGACAATGTTCCTCACTTTTTTTTAAGGAACACGTGTACCATGTTTCATGAAGATAGCTCAATTTTGACTCAAGTTATCGCTTGCACGGTCGGACGGACGGATAAACGGACAGACATCATATCTACCTACCTACCTTATATCTAATTCGATTATTTTTATGTGCTACAAACATCCGTTAGGTGAAAAAAAACTATTATACTCTGTAGCAGCATGTTGCAAGAGTATAAAAATGCATTAACTTCCCTAAAGGGTGTTTCCTGCTAGGCTGCTTTTTGCGAAATCCTATGGATTACTTGACGAGTGGCGCATATTTTATGAATGCATGAGCGAACGCGTCTATATGTATCAAGATTATGAGTATATTTTTATATGCTAATGACCATGTGAAACAAGCCAACAACAACCACTTAAAATTGTTTCATTTCATTGAATGCACAAGAAGCAGAAATAAATCACTTAGACCGAGTTCAAGATCAAATTAAATACAAAGAACTTTTTTCTAAAGTGGACAGCAAACCACAGAGGTCTTAAGTACATATATTATATACTTGTATATATATATTATTTTATTTATGTAAATATGTTTGTATATTTATATAAAATCGTTTGTAGTTGCATATTTGTGTACATGTATGTGTGTCGCGGCCGAACATATTGCACAACAGCAATTTTATACGTATTAATAAGCAGATTTGTTTGTTATGAAAACTAATAAAACTATCTAAAAAGCAATAATGCTATCGAAACAGCATTAGTGTGGATATAAAACATTTTTCGTTTGTTTTTATTATGCATGAATTTCAAAAATATTGCTATTGTAGATGATGTTTAATTTTATTTTTGCGCGTCATACAATTCATACAAATTTGAAAATTCATTTTAGTTACTTATATACTTATACGAATATGTAGATATTTACACTGGTATTAGGTAAACATATAAAGTCGCGCATACTTTGAACCCTTTTCACGTTTACTGCTACCGCCTTTCCGACTGGCATTTCCATATTGCTGTTGGCGATTTTTCGAACTTTTCATTAAACTTTTTAGTTTCGCAAAAAAATCAATATTTTTTCGCTGAACACTTTTTACAACTGAAACTAAATTCAATTTGCTGTATCAAATCAAATCAGACAATCAATGAGCAATTCCAGCGAGTAAATTCAACATTTCTTTTTTATTAACTACACTTTGCACCGTTAAAAACATTGCGTAAACTCGTTGAGCTTCAGAATTTTTCTACACAAACACATAAATATTTGCTAGTATTTTGCCACATTTCCCACACATTTGCTTCGAATTTCAATGCAACGCAACGGTACTAAAATTACCGCGTTTTCGCGTTCACGTCCGCATACGAATTACCAATTTTTCGATCTGCTTATCATGACAACTGAAATCAATATTCGCGCAAAATGCCGTTATTAACAAACACATAGGCGGTGCAAATGCTGTGTTGCCGCCAACTGACAGTTTCGAAAAACTGACATTTGTGCGGCATCACTTTTGGCCAACGCGGTTGGCAGCGGTCGACGCGGCTGACGTCGTCATCACCACCAACAGGGCAGACGGAACTGTAAAATATTAAGCATTTCGATTTAGTTTCGTCGATCGCTTTGCCATTCGAAACGATTTCGTTGAATAGAAGCAGTGAGTGGACGCGCGATCAGTTGTTGGTTCTACTATTGTAATGGGTGATCCAAGTAGAGGTACTTTTTTCAATGGCCTTTTTTTTGACAGATTATCAAGTTGTTATGTTATTTTTGTTCAGTATTGTTTGGTATTTCAACATGAAAGCCCTAAACAACATTTACAAATCGTTCAACTTTATTACGAAAACTCACGTTCTTTAAAGAATTTGTGTCTTGCGATTCGCTTATGTTATGGTCAACATAATCGGTCTACTCAGCGTACTATTCGACCAAATAGATCACGTCCAGCACGCAATGAAGAAAATATAGCGGCCGTAGCTGAGAATGTACACGAAGACCGTGGAGAGTCGATTCGGCGCCTTTCGCAGCAACTCAGACTGGCGTTGATGGAACGACTTGAGATTGCATACTGAACAGATTCAAAAGCTGACATTTTATTCAGAAAAAACGACGGTTTGGTGTGGTTTGTGGGCCGGTGGAATCATCTGTCCACATTTTTTCAAAAATTATGCCAGTGATCGATATGATATCACACCGTTAGACTTTTTTCTGTGGGGATATGTAAAGTCTGAGGTCTATGCGGTTAATCCCGCTTCGATTCAAGCCTTGAAGCAAAATATCATGCGTGTCATTCGCCAGTTACCAGTCGAAATGCTCGAAAGGATTATCGAAGATTGAACTCAATAGATGGACCATCTGAGACTTAGGCGCGGACAACATTTGAAAAAGAAAATCTTCAACAAATAAATGCCAAAGAATGTTCTTTCGAATAATAGCAAATATTTGCTATAAAATATGAAATTTCTATGTTTTTCGTTCTAAAAGTAGCGAACCACGAAATGGAACACCCGTTATAAAATAAATGGTCGCAGTTCAAAATAGAAATAAAATTAAAATTATAAAGACCAACGAAAATTCATTAGCTCAAATCGATCTGAAATATATGGTAGACGCGCGTATCTGTGTCGGAGAGCGTAGACGGAAGCGTTTTGTGGACGAAACTATTACACGCGCTCATATTGTATTTATTTGTTTGTGTTAATGAATATATTTTAATAACGCTCAATAAAGCAACATATCATTGGCATTTGCAGCGTTTTCTCTTTTTCTTTTTGAGTTTTTCATTTGAGCATATTACAAATGAGTGGAAAGCCGATAAACTACTAACTTTACTGCTTAAAATGTTCATTGTTAAATTGAGTGTGGATTTTAGTTAGATAGAGTAATTAATCCATAGAACAAACTTATTTGCAACAGCAGCGCAGGAGAGTCAATTTGCTTTACTAGTAACCAGGAATGAGCTCACTTACAAGCGTGTGTTAAAAGAACACGCGTTAAAATAACAGAACCCATAAAAACATCAGCATTAAATTTTCAATAGATTCACTCAAAACTAACAACATAGCAAATACAGCATAGGTTTGAGAACAGACATATTACTAGCGTATTTAGCTGGCTTCTATAAACTTTTATATTAGTTACACATTTTTTTGATACTCTCTTAAACGAATTTCGCTAATTTCCGTGTCATAACTTAATAATAACATTAAGTTCAAAACAAAACTATTATACTCTATAGTAACATGTTGCGAGAGTATAAAAATCATAGAAATGTCCAAATTCAAGAAAAAAATCATTAAAAATATTTAAAAATAGTTTTAGTTCGCCTTCTCACTAGAGAATCTCTTTTACACCAGCGCACTTTCCCTATAAATTATATACATATGAATACATCTATAAATCATCAGCATGACGAGCTGATAAGGTATGCCTGTCGTACGAGGCGACTAAAATCCATTTGCACTATGACTGTGATTAAGCTTTGCTACGAAATATCAGCATAGTTATGTCAGAAATAGTGCTATAATACTCCGCTTGAACTGATATTATAAACTTTCAATTAGATTCCTAATAAAAACACATTTGCAGTTCAAGCGACAAATGTCACCAGTCATTGAGTTAATTGGGTGCTCAACCGGCAGTAGATTCGGCTACAAGGTCTTACCGGAGACTTAAAACTGGTACCACGGGGAGCAGAAAGCTCTTGGGTTTCGGTCCAATCTGCTCTTTGGGTTTGTCCCTTTGGGCAGATTCGTAGTGACTGTGATTTAAACCTAAATGCTGGAAGAACTGAAAAATTCAGTTCACTGTGGAGTTGCTTAGCAACTGTGTGCCGTACCCACAGCACGGCAGAGGTTCTAAGTCGGCCTCGAACCCGACCAAGTTGGAATAGTTGTCACTTCCACACTGATCAACGCATACTTTTGATCCGTTGTTCTTTTGAGCACCGTGAGGTTAGGCCGTCGCAGCAGGTACTCACGTAAATTACAACGAAAGTTGTCTGTCCGTCTGATATACGCGAACTAATCGATCCGAAATTTTTGTATGTGATATTTTTTATTTGATGTAATATCTTCACGAAATTTGGCATGAGCTAAGGCAGCAATGTAATCTCCGAATAAACCATTCAGAACAGATCACTATATCATATAGCTGCTATATACATCGAACGATCGGAATCGAATTCTTATTAGGAACCTTTGTATTTGTGAAGGGTATTATAGCTTTGGTGCAGCCAAAGTTAACGTTTTTTTCTTATTTTTGCTTTACTTTTAGCTAGAAAATCTTAAACCCCTCAATAAATAATATTGCTGCATGGAACCCTTCATAAATTACAAGTTTTTTAGCATGAAGGAATTTTCAGACTTTATTCACTGTTATTTGTTAGTCGAAAAAAAATTGTATTATTATATTTTTTTTAAAGCGGGAAGCTTAATATGACGGCAAAATCCTTCAAATGTTAGTAAGTGTACTACACTTAAAAAAAAACTATAGAAAACAATCCAATAACATGAACAATAAATACAAAACTTAGCTAAAAAAAAGGAGTTTAATATAAAAAGTCACCGGCTTATCAAAGGATTCGTCTGAATGAAAGTGGCGCTATGATATATACTGTATCAATTTAACATTGCTATATAATTATTATTGTTGTATATAAATTTGTGTTTTTGCGCTTAAATTCTTACAATTTTTATACCCGAGCACAACTTCTTGTTGTCAGGCTTTATACATACATATACCTCAAAGAGTTGAGATGTGAAGTATTGTAGGGATCACGATTGGGACACGCCTACCCTTAGGGGAAGACAGAGTTAATATATATATATATTATAGGATCTCCGACGTTTCCTTCTTCGTGTTACAAACTTCATGGCAAACTTAATATACCTTGGTCAGGGTATAAATTTGTAATAACTTCTAAAAATGTAGACCGATACAGTTTTTGGTATAATATATGGTATAATATATGTACGAAAGAATTAAGAAAACTGGTACATTGAAAATTGTATTTCAATAAAATGACAATATAACAGTATTAAATTTATAAAAAAAAATAGCACAGGGAGTCAACTTAAATCAATAATCAAAAAAAATTCACTTTGGCTTCAGCATTAACGTCCTATATTTACATTTTAACGTCGTATATGTACATATATATGAATATATACCTATATATTTAAATATGTTGGCCGTTAAAGTGAAAAACGCACTACGCCATGGCTTGACCCCATTTGAAATATAAAAACTTACACACTAGATAACTGTGCTTAACAATACAGCTTCCTTTTTTTATTGCTATTTTTACAGCAGCAATTTATAAAATTTTCGTAATCGCATTAAAATTCAATTATACATGAAAGCAATATTTTCACTGAAATACTTGTTGTTAAGTGCTATGAGATTATGTTTATTAAATAAAATGTCTGTATTAATAAATTTATGTAGATAAAAGTGATGTTTTTCATTAAATTTTATTATATAACACTGCGCAACACCGCAATTATAAAATAAGAATAAAGGCTACCTAATTAAAACATATATGCATCTATTCGAATCATTTTAGTTGAAATCAGCATTATTATTTTAATATTGAAGCATATATATAATATATATATATATACATTAGGGTGGAGCGAATTTTTTTTTTTTTTGCTTAGCGTGAGGGTAAAATTTGTAGATTATAAAAAAAGAAAATATTTAGAAAAAAATTAACATCCCACTCACTCTTAAAGTAAATTTCGAAAAAAAGGTTTTTTTATTTAGTTTAAAATCTTCTTATTTTTATAAAAATTACCAAATTTGACGGTTTTTGACTCAAAAAACATGTTGTTGTTTAAGACTTTTTTTTAAAACTCCAATAATGACCACAAAGAATTTTTTTAAGTTGATAACTTTTAATTGGCCAAAAAGTGGACTCTCCACAGCTTCTAGAACACTTATCAAAAATTGTTTTTGAAACAAAAATTTTAACTCGAAATTTACTTTAAAAGTGAGTAGATGTCTAGTTAAGTTAGTTAAAAAAAAATTATTTGTTTTCCAAAAATTTTCTTTCTTTATAATCTACAAATTTGACCCTCAGCTAAGCAAAAAAAAAAAATTTCGCTCCACTCTAATATATATATTTATTTATTGCTTATAATATCTATGTTTGATATTTTGTCTAGTCCCTTGAACTGCGAAACTCTTAGATATTTAAGACGAGTTCTAGATAATGCTCTCTCTCATGTCTACTTCTCTGCACTTGTTGCATGTATCGTCGTTACTTATGCCCAACCGGCTCGCATGTGATGCCAGTAGATTGTAATCTGTCAAGAGGACAACAACTGTCCGGCAGTCCTTTCGAGACCGTGTGAGTACAAAGCATGCGAGTTTTCCTACGTAGATCCTGCACCTGTCATCCCAGTGTGCCATGCATTTTGTATTTCTTAAGAAAATGTTTATTTATGTTGCTGAATATCGTCAGCTAAAATTATATTAAAATCATATTCAAATGAAATATTTGGGATATCAACTCAACTGAAGAAGCTAAATTTAATATCATGAGTTGATGTGAAAACGTCAATCAGAA